CATTAAGTTCCAAGAGGAGCATTGTTGCAAAGGGATTCTAGTGCTGCTCAAACCCGTTCATCTGTGGACTAAGCTACGAGTAGACAGGGGGTAGGATTGCTTGGTAAAAAGTCCTTAAGTTTGTTGCACTACAACAGAACATGAGCTGAATAACATTGTGATATTTCAAATAACAAAGTTATGATTTATATTTTTACAAATGCCCTCTCAAAAACAAGCTAGAAACATTGTGGAACCATGTTACACCATGTGTAAGAGATAGTAGGTTTTGCGGAAAACTATTGACAAGTGATTCTAGTGCATTTCTTACCGTTTCTTCTATGATACAAACTAGGTTATAAAGAACAATTATTTCATAAGAAAAGTAAACTGTATAATGTAGGCGTCACAGTAATGCTGCCAACTGCATTTTAAGATCCTTCAAGACTGCAACGATTCTTCATATAATAGATTTTAGGTTTAGATGCGATTAAACAGCATTATCATCTCCCGCTAAACGTAACTATGTTAAAGTATAGCCAAGACAAATACCATTCCATATTCCCCGACCTTTAACCTAGCACAACACAACGGTTCCAAAATTACCACAAATGACAACTGCATGAACCATGCCAAAAACCTACTGCGTCAAATCAGGAATTCTCTGTGTCCTAATGACAGCCGCGACAAGTGAGTTCTTACACAACCAACAAAGTATGATGACTTCTGGCTGTTTTTGCATAACGAGGCCTCTTATTGTGGGAGTGAAGCAAGGCCGCGAGTTCAGTAGCCAGTCGTGGAAATAATTAGGAAGAACGCTGCATCCGCTCGTGCGACGCGAGGGCCATTATGAAATTATTCACTCGTTAGGAGGTGACTAACGGACCGGTCATCATCGGGACACGCGTTGACGTTGACGTTGACAGGGTGTTGTACTCGCACCGTTGTTGTTTTTAACGGAGTTCTCCAGGGTATCGTACTACAGCCGTTTCTTTTTCATACCATTTTCATTAGCGAAGATCAACGATCTTTGGCCTATTATGCAAATTAATCTCTTCATCCTACGCCATCATAATTATGTCAGAAGGCAGCTTAGATTTAATTAAGCATTTGTAAAATAGTCGACGATTAAAATGCAATTATGTAGTTGCTGAAACGCCTAGGGTTTGATCTTCCGTTGAGCGTTTTCTTATTAGGGTTTCTATACAACAGTGGCTATCGTAAAAATGAATAGTTTAAAGAAATTACTGGATAGAATCAGAATGGGTTCCTTATGCTGCATTGTAAAACACCCCAAAAGGAAAAAGAAAATGTTGAAAGTTCGTAAGTGGATGGAATTGTTTCAGTGTTAGTAAACGTACTTATCAATTATATTTCCTAACAGAATATATCTAACCAAGGGATATAAAAATTTCTGTCTATATATAGCAGTTTGATACTGTATTTGGCAACCATAATAGTTTATCAACCACGTGTAACCTATCAGTCCATCATGCTGAAATCCTGGAAGAAATATTTGTAATAATTACAGGTCAAGGGGTTTTGATGGGCTTACAACGTGGTAATTGTAAAATCAGTAGATTAACCCATCAGAAGCATGAATGCCGCATATCAGATGGTAACCACTCCCACCTATCAGCTGCTACCTCGCCACGTATAGTTATTGCGCAAGGATGAGCATTACAGCTGCGTCTTGATCCCGGGATAAGCTGTTAATCACTTTTGGCGGGTAATTACACATTCTCAAGTTTAGGAATAGCTAATTTCGGCGGGTGACGGGTGCGTGCCTGCGTGGCTGCATGCCCCTTGACCCAAGCACATCTCGCTACGCACTTCCTTCAACTTAGGCCCTATAATCAGTCAATTGCACGTCCGAAAGTACCGTTTTGTCTATTTTCTATTTCCTTCTCTATGTGAACGTTGGCATCGGGTAAATTCATCCTCTTACGAAACTCTTAGCAACTTTTAGGTAGAGTTATATTAGCGTGAATGTTAATCATTAGTCAGTGAACATTTTTTTTGGGAATTTCGTAAAACGAAAATAACTTATATAAACGAGTAAAAGAGTGACTTAAATTTAAAAATTACAGATTCTTTGTGATAACGATAATTCAAACATACCAATGCAAAATCAATTGTCATGCTTTAACAAAGGACTTTTACCGCACATGATACTTTACCGTGCATTTAACATGTCGAAATTGTAATCTTACATTACTGAGTATACTTGACTCAGTAATGTCAGAAATGTGTTTTTCATCCCGCGCGTGCTTTGCATGGCACATGGGATTATGTATTTAATTTAAAAATTGCATGAATAAAATTGTTTGAATTGAATTGAATTGAATTGAATACTACTTTTCTTCGTAAGTTTTCGATTAAACGACAACAAAATCGCACCCCTCACGAGATCCAAAACACTTGCACTAAGACAATCGACTCAACGACAACCCAACCGGGTCACATAACTGTCTACCTACACTTAATTACGTACATATCCACTAAACACAGTTTTTTTCCACTGCAATCAATTGCATGCCGCGCATTGCGCTAACGAAGACAATAAACTACGCATTTCATCGAGCCAATCAACAGTCCGATTCGGTTTCATATCGTTTTATTTCACCCATAAACCGGTGGACGGACTGCGACGGACAGTTAGCTCCGTAACGGAAGCAGTGACCATGTCCGGGCGCCTGCGTCTGCGCCGTGTCCAGTAACATTGTCCGCCATATTTCACGGCTATACGCATGCGCACACTCACTCGCACACGGAGGCAACTTGCCCTGGATCGCGCTCATCTGCATAGAAGCCGTCCCACGGACTGAGCCAATACGTTCGCCAAGTGATTCACATGCTGATCAACAGGTGCAACGCCGAACAGTTTGCAAAAGTGGAACATCAAAGTGACTCTGTTCTGGAGTTTCCCAGGAAATGTTCCCTATTGGGAATACTTTTTTTAACAGACGTCACTTATTCCGAAATAATTTTGAATTGTGTTTTGTACGTCGTCGAGTTACAGAACGGGGGCTTGCTTAGGGAACAAAACACTATTTACAAAATTACCTTGTCTTTTCTTTCCATGTAAAGGACCAAATCAACGGTAAATCATTAATCCGTGAGTCCTTGCTGAAACAACAATGCTTGATGCGACACAGCATTGTACCGACCAAAATCTCTGACATAGGACATGACCTAAAGATTACACATAGATTAAGATAATTACTCCAAAGACCAAAACAACCTCTTCACTAAATTACTTATCAACGACCCAATCATTCAATAATTACAGCATTAACCCGTCTACACGGTCCGACACAAGGACCTCTGCAAGACCTCCTGTGGCGAGGGGAAGCACGGTGATGCTATCTGGGCCTAGGTTAATGAACAACAAGACGCCGTGTATGGTTAACCTAGCAATTAGCGGAATCTATCATATCAACCGCAGCAACATTCCTGGTCGCATTGTCATCAGAACTGGTCTAGCAGGTGCTGCAGACTGCAGTGCTGCAATGCTGCATTGCTGCAGATCTGCAACACAGCTATCCTCGAGGGAATTCCCTTGCTTCGACAATCTATATCTGTCTCCCAGTTCGGTATTGCGGCACCGCCTTCGAGCCTAACTACTGATACACCCTGAGTGATCGTTTGATAGCGGTATTGTTTGTTTCCTAATACGGACATAAGTCAGGTAATGCCATCCGTCGTTATCACAGGAAAATAAACCCGAACAACACATACTGTACAGATAAACATGCAGATTATGTGAAATGACTGTGTACCTGTTATACTCGTTATAGATGGATGTCGAAGAAATTTGCACTTTTTGCTTTTAAACTGATCCCTTAGTCTTGCAGATGTTATAATTTTTTTCTGGCATGTCTGAGTAAAATATTTTACACAATTAGGCGACTAAATGTGTGGATATAGATAATGTGTATTCTAATTAAAATACAGTACTTGCAATACAAAATTACATTTGAATTCTTTATTCCTTTTCAGGGGTTTTTTAATGGTCCGATCTAATAGTTACAAAGTAGCTCTATGAAAAACAATTGCACAACGATCAAGTTGAAACGAGTTCAAAAGAGGCATGTGCGGTTTCAAACCTAGACTCTGTCTGTCCTACACAGCTCTGACAATGATTTAAGACTTTCTCTGAACTATTTTTAGACCCGAAATCGCCAAGTCTTTAGTAACAGTTGCAGCCCCAAATTAATCGCTATTCATCAACATCAACATCAGTCGTATTAATGGCTCAGGTTGCCGTCTAAGTGGGCCTAATGGGGCGCTCACGTCACACGCCTCACCGTATACATGTACCATGTAAAGACGGAGGAAGTCATCAGAGCTATTACATGTATTAGATGATCTCGCTACTTTCCCACGAGACTGCGATTAGCTCCCGTTTTTTAGTTGAGGATAACGGAGATGATAAACTATGATGAACTATGGATTTTTGAAGAGTACTATAATTTCAGCACGGATATTATTTTAATTTCGATAATAAAATGTTTCAAATATATTCACGTAGATAGTAAGCTCTGCCGTGTACTATTCAAAATATTTGCACAATTACCTTAATGGCTGACACCATGGTTGAGGTATGGAGTAAGAACCTTCTACAACAATAACCTTTAACTAGGGATGGAATGTCTTCCATAGTTAAATTGTTTATAATAAGATTAACATTCTTTCATGTGAAAAATACTTGTGTTGAGCCAATGGCAACAAATCTGTATCTGTACTCTAACTTTGCAACCAAGCCAAATTGAAAGAACGAATTATTTTAAGCTATAGCATCTATCATGTCACATCAAACATCATTAACATAAAATAAGGCAGACTTGTAACTTTAGACTGTAGCACACTTTTCAATTAAAAAATTGCTAGGTCTGGCCCATAAAGATGGGAAATTTACTTCAGAAACTTAAACTCAACTATATTACTTGTTAATCCTTCCGAGTCTGTGAACGTTACAAATGTTTGTTGACATTTGTCTAAGACTTTTCCCTTTCCAGGAGCGCTGAGTAAATCCCAGTTCCCCGTGTTCACCATCTACGCCCAGAAGAGCTGCCTGGGGGTGAAGCCCTGCGAGAGAGCCTGGTGCTTCGACCGTGTACAAGGCTACCGACTCAGTGGATACGTCAAGAAGACCCAAGCCACCGGGACAAGACAGGACTGTCTCGAACTGTGCCTGGGAGAGCGGGAGTTCACGTGCAGGTAAAACACAAAACACTAACCACCGCTAGTAAACTCGCCTATTGTCACAAGGCAAAAACATCGCCGTTTTAATCACCAACTTCGCCGCGGGAACTTGTGTCACGAACGGTGGGAAAAACTGATCGAAACTGATGAAGCTGGTCTAACTAACCGACCAGCGAAACGGTGTTTCCCTTCACAATGTGTTTTTAAAAGCAGTACTTGTAAATGTAATGTCACCTCAAATGCCCCACTATTTTCTATAACTGGGCGATCGATCCTGACTAATGAAAAAACTGTCTAGTCAGTATAAAATAAAGCTACACTGAACATCTCACTTACCTTTCATTCACATTCAACATAAAATACGTTCCAAGTGTAAATCGCTGTCTCGACGAATTGATTATGAATAATTCATTGAAATATTAAAAACGGTACAAACATCCCTATTTTTATTTTGCAGTATACTAGATGGTTCAAAAACGCAACAACGCTCCCGGCAACCCAGTAGGTCTGGGGAAGTTAAAATCCAGTTATTGGCTTGTGTGCTTGTCCTATCAACATGAAATTTGAAAATGTTTGATCCATCGTACACATCTCCGTATATTATCATTACAGTATCATTATTACCAATTGCGATGGGTACGCGTGTAGAACAGAGTGAGATGATCTGTGTATGTTACCATTGACCAAGACCAGCTGTTTCATTAGCAAGGGCCATTTGATGATCAAGAACAGCTGGGATCAGTTCAAAAATCAAAAAGCTATCTTAGGATCTAACCGGCGCCTTTTTGGATCAGCTACCTAACCATGTTACTATACAGTATAATGTGTTCTATCTTCTATCCAATAGTTTTAACACAATGAACACAAATTGCGTCAGAATTGCTTCGTTTCTCGTACCATTTTGCATCATTCTCGTTACCGCCGTAACCTCCCATGAATCAATCAGTGCTGGAGATCTGAAGGGAGACACGTGGTCGCACAAGAAAACGTAACTAGCTCTTTGTCCCAACCAGATAATATTGAAAGAAACGTCAAGACAATGCGGTAACGGTGCTTGTCCAGCCAATCACTTTAAAGCCTACTCTGGGCTGGAGACTCCACCAGCTGGACCTCTGGAGCCGAAACTTCCGTGCTGAACTGCACAGTCTTCACGTTCATTTCAACTCGCTTCACAATTTTACAACCGGTAATAGCCAATAGGCGAGGCGTTTCTCGCCAACGTTCTTTCAGAGGTCGTGAAACTCTGTCTGACTTTATGTGCAGAACGGTTAACGAGACTACCCTAACTACTGTTTTCAGTCACTCGGACCATTAGAGAACTGTGTACACCATAAACAAACACCGGTGAACCGCGATATTTTAGTGTTTACAATGCAATAAGTGACTTGTAATTTGTTTATGTTCTACCTTAATTGCGACAGTACGTGTTTGAAGCATGTTTCTACTTTTTACAACACTCGGTGTGGCTTTTATAGCACTGGAGAGTTGAAGGTTTCCTAGATGTGTAAAATAAGGCGATTTTATTTCTGGAGACTTAAACCAATTAGTTTCAACCATCTGTACGCTAGATTAAAATCGATATTTGCCATCACCCTAAACTGAATATGTTTCTAAAATCTTCTTCTCATTAACCATATTTTGTACATATTTGGTGAATTTTTTTCATGGAAGGACCACAGATTACAGAGATGAACCTTTCCTCTCTTTATTTTGTCGTGACATTGATGTTCAGAATCTCGTTTCGGGTTCCTAAAGTTTGCATTAATTATTATTTGAATTTTTAAAAACATACCTTAAATGCGTAACTTCATGAAATGTACAGCTTGTATTTTTATCCTTATACAATATTTCATATACCTAAATCACTCAACCACACTGACAAAATACACCCTACCTACGTCCCGGGAATACCCCACACATCTCAACGACGCAAACACTTCTAACACTTAGTGTTAACGAGTGATCGTGCAACATCACCATCCGCACATTATCCGTACAGCAAATTCAATCCTTGCACATGGTACGCCTACCATTGTGACTCATGCATTACTGTTATGGCCCTGATAACATCTTGACGTGACTTCCAACTCTCCGATAGCAAATTGTATTATATCGACCCAAGATTATCCGATCACAGGTTCCTGTTAAGAAGCTATAAATCCGAACCATTAATTAGTCTTTAGCACGCGTCCCATTACCGGCATTCAATTACCGCGTTATCAGATGTTGGACAATAGTTGAACGTTGAGCGTTGAGCGGCGCAGAGTAGCGGTGAGCGGACAGTACACAATAGCCGCGGGCCGACACGTCCGTACGTAACGGCGGCAACACTCGCAGAAACCCGTGAAAATCGACACGTACACCAAAGTGATATACCGTACAGTTACCAGCCCGATAATCAGGTTGACTTTGATGAGTTTCTACCATTCGTCTGTAACCTTGGGAAATCGGTTGAATGTGACAAGAAGTTTTGTGGTAAATCTGATGAATTTAAGTGATCTCCAATAGAGGGTGGATCTCGTAAGGTGTCCAGTATTGTTTTCAAACAAACCGTTGGTCTTAAATAGTGAAATAACACTTTTCCCCACTATACCATCCACAATGAAAAACAAAAACATATTTTGAATGTTCTTTTTAGTACAGGGTGTTCCTAACACCGAGGGTCACTAGTTAGAATCTCAGAAGTATCAAATACAAAATATCCCATATTTTGTTTTTTGAAGCTCATAATGAAATTAATACTCGACACCTTACGAGATGATTATGTGTAAATAAAGAGAAAATGATGCTAGATTTATAGTTGCTGGGGGACAAAGTATAGGGCTGACAAATAGGTACAAATATTGACTATTGGAGAGAATTTAACTTGAAGCTCATTGCGATCCACGTCAATTATGAATGCAAGATTGCCTTGGTAGTTTATCATTGTTTCTGACTAAGATCAATTGATCAATTACAACTATTGAGAACCGGTGATGGTTTAGACGAGGATTAGTCGATCGTCCAAAGTGCTTAAACCGATTCATAAGTTGGAACACAAGGCATTCAACATCATTGATGAACACGCTAACAGCCCGTGATTTAACAAGGATTGATGTTCAATAATCCGTAGACTAAAGTCCTATACTTGTAGCAAAGCAGGAGCACGGTTCAATTCCCACCGATGATCAAAGAATTTTATTATTTATAGGTTCCCAATTAAGGCCTAGGATATGAAGGGGGGATATGAATAAGTATAGCGGGCAAAGCCTAATTACAATTTAGCACCCACGTAGCAAAGTTTCTAAGGGTGCCGCAACATATGAATTATGAATTATTTCAGATGGGGACACCACTATGTGCGTATTTTAACCCAAATATGTGTGTAGGATGAGTGGCACGATCTTGTAGTCTTGTGACTAAGGCCGACATGTTCCCTGGACACAGCTGTTTAATTAATAGCCCATACAGCCAATGACAACTAAGGGACCTACAGTTTATAGTGGAATCCGAACAACATTTTGTCCTTGTAATTAACAAATTGGTCTAATTATAGTACTGCGGATAGTCTTAGTAATCACTAGTGCGGACATTAATCCACACCAGGAAGCTTCGCATCCACAGTGCATGCCTATAAATATCCACAATTCGTGACCTCCTAGTAGCTGGATTACAGGACGACACCACCGTCCCGATCCCAGTACGTACGCCCTAAGTGCCAATACACGATTTAAACCAGAAGGTATGCCGTTACACAATTAATTAAGTGACAAATTATGCAATTTCTCAACAGTTGCAACAAATACTAAAAATAACCAGTGCCGACTAACTTAACAAATTAAAACCACTGAGTGTGAAATGTGACACGAGTTATAATTGGTAACCCAAGTCTTGAGACTTATAACGACGTGTTTTCCATAATCGTAACGAATCAAGTTTGATTGCACAAGAAGTTTATTCCCGCTGCTTGACATGGTTCAATGCTGCGGTATAATTAAGGTATAACTCACTTAATGCTTAACTAAGCGAGGTTAACATCCGCAGAGTGCATTAGTTACGTTTACGACGGATAAATCTTGAGTGAAGTAATTGAGATATTCCGTATATAACTTGCAGATGTCCATTCACTTGTTAGGAATAGCTAGATCGATACTCAATGTCATCATATAGTTGTATTCTGACCATCATGTTTTGTTCATCATGTGGTTTACCTCTCTATGAATGTTGATTTCCACCTCCTATGTAGTGAGGTGTCAAGGACCCTGTCCAGCACGTGTATTGGCGATGACGACGCGAGATGATGTGAACATGTCGGATGTAGTTATCACATAATCGCGTCCTGTTTCTGCCATTACATCGCATCGGAGAAACCATCGTTACATCGACACTTTCCTTAGATCGCCGCACTTGTGCTTTCAGCGACGGTCCACGTGGTCCGTGTTGTTACAAAATTTTAAGATTGAAAAATTGAGATTGTTATTGCATGGAAACACTCGGAGTAAATTTTATCCATCGTTAAAAGTAACTTACGTAGGCCTACATTAGAGCTAAACCAATCACTAGTCTAACTTGGTAAAATTTCATCCCATGTGAATAGTTCGGAAGGCTATAAGAGACAATTGTATTTGAGAGTGTAATATTACACGATATCAGGTTTTATGAATCAAGTGTCGGTATGCTAAACACAATGGTTTTTTTATAGCTAGTACAAAAGTTATTTTTACTAGAGTACCTACCTAACGTCTCAAATACATTATATATTAATTCTTAAATTATTGGTCTTCAAATGAGGCTCGCGTCATATCGGTATTATTTACACTATTTATGAAACCAGATGATTCATCCGTCCTACGATGTGACATCCAAGTGGCAAAACTGACGCGGCTTTCTTAGACACATAGTTACAAGTTTACGACTAATTTTGTAATCCATTTATTTGTTATCAGCTAAGTAAAGCATGGAGGATTATGCAGATATATAGTGATATATTAAACTAAACACTTTTCTGTATAAAATTTAAATGAAAATGTTGGTCT